GAGAAAGAGAGAGAGAGAGAGAGAGAGAGAGAGAGAGAGAGAGAGAGAGAGAGAATGGATTCATAACCTTAATAATTGACCCGTAACCTTAACAATTAAACCTGTAACCTTAACAATTAAACCCGTAACCTTAACAATATCCCAATACAAATAAAAACAATTAGTTTCTCCATCAACAACGAAAATAATAAAAAATAAAAATAATAAAATAATAATTCTCATCAATCATTTCAACTATCAGTAACATCATGATAGAGAGAGAGAGAGAGAGAGAGAGAGAGAGAGAGAGAGAGAGATCTATAACCTTAACAATTGACTCGTAGCCTTAACAATTAAACTCGTAATATTAACAATCTTCCAATACAAACAAAATAGTTAGTTCCTCTCATTAATAACGAAAATAATAAAAAGGGAAAAATAATAAAATAACAATGATCGTCAATCATTTTAACTATCAGGAACAACATCATAAAGAGCGAGAGAGAGAGAGAGAGAGAGAGAGAGAGAGAGAGAAGGATATTATGGTCTTCACATATTTTAATCTCTTGGGTTTTGTGTTTTGGGGCTCAGAGAACAAAATCTTTATTTTTTAGAATCAAAGAACCTGTTGACAAAGTCTGGGGGAGTGTTTGGGGGTTGGAAGCATTTTTCCCTAAAAACTAATATACATTAAGGTCAAAACCAAACAACTTAAGTTTTTAGATAACTGATTTTAGACCTGGTATCAGAACACTTCAAAGAGTTTTGCAAGGCCTGAATTCTTGACCTTGGAATAAATTTCGGATAAATTGACGTTAAACTAATACGGAATGTACAAGCACTTATTGTCCTAGGAATTGACATTTTTAGAAGAACAATATTTAATATAACCTCCCTTTCCTCATGATTTGTGGAGTCACAACTGCTAGTTGTTATCAACGCTGGAATAGTACTTTCCTCATGATTTGTGTACGTAGCCACAAGTGCTAACTGTTATCAACGCGGGAATTGTACTGCAGAGTGACAAAAGAATGGTGGAAAAAACTCAGAGAAACAAATACAAGGGATTTAACGAGATTCGAAAATCAAAGAAACAAATGCAAGGGAATTAAACAAGATTAGCACTTATTGTCCTCGGAATTGACATTTTGAGAAGAATAATATTTAATATAACCTCCTTTCCATTTGTGCAGACACGAGTGCCAACTATTATCAGCGCAGGAATAGTACTGCAGATTGACAAAAGAATGGGGGAAAAAAATCAGAGAAACAAATACAAGGGACTTAACCAGATTCGAAAAATCAAAGAAACAAATACAAGGGAATTTACAAGATTCGAAAATCAAAATGGCTATCCATATCCTCAATATATACCTGGGGGGTCACCAATTCCAGTAATAATCAATAAGATTATAGTTCAATCTCTCAAATCTTAATCTCACCTTCCTCTGTCATTTCTCCTTTCTCTCTTTTGATTGGTATAAAATATAGGCAGCGGCTGAGATGCGTATCTATATAATAGGTTCTTGCCTGCATGAATGAATTTACAAAAATACCCCCAGCAATAAGGTGTAATAATTTATGGCTTCACTTGTACATTCTTCCTATAAACCGGGCTCCTTGAACAACGTACTCACAATTGAGTTGAGAGGTGATAAGTTCCACTCAATGAGTTGAGAGGTGATAAGTTCCACTCAAGTTATAGATAGTACAAATCCCTCTATCAATATATATTACAAATCAATCTCTTTAACTCCAATCTCAGCTAACCTTCATCTGTCATTTTTTTTCTCTTGATTGGAAAACAATAGGCAAAGGCTAAGATGTTTATTATGTGATAGGGTTTCTGTATCCAACATTGTAGTAGAGGTGCTATGGTGTAGAACTTCACGTCTAGCTCCGGGTATTATATATACTTTTCATGTAAATCAAGCCCCACAAACAATACGAAGAACGAGTCAAAGGTACTACTCAAATAACAGAAATTTTAAGTCATGACTCTAGTAATATCAATAGGTATCACAGGTCACGACCCTAATAATATCAATAGATATTACAAATCAGGCTTTCCAACCCCTAATGTCACCTAGCCTTTCTGTTGTTCCAATCTATTGGATTTGAGATGCAAGCTTAGAGGGGGTGAATAGGGCTGCGACCATTTTTTTCACCAAAAGATTTTATAATGGTTTAAATAATAGTCCTACGTTCACTCTTACTTCTCATGAAGATACTTCCTCATTATGCAAAAGAATTTTCGTGAAGCACAAACTCGATTCAATAGTCATACAAGACCGTACCCTAAAACTTTCCCCAAAACTAGTCGTCTAATCTAACTCTCCACAATGAGTAACACATAGTATTAGCTAGCCTTAACCATCAATTAATTCCGGCTTGAATATGTCGTAAAAACAAGTTCAAAACAAAACCACCACAAATATTTAAAGCTCAGAATAGCAGAAAGATCTTATAGCTCTTTTGTTA